TATGAAAGGCACTGTTTTTGTATAACCCAGTGATAAGGATGCTGCAGCGCCAGCCCGTTATGACATCACACACGCTGTTGAGTTTAGATTTGTGAAAATTTTCACTGTTCGAGTGTTGTCATTGTGTTAGAGCGAGTAAATGTCATGAATAAATTTGACATTAAACATGATCCAAGTTGAAGTGTTACATCATTTTCAGCCCACAAATTGACAAAGACCATGCAGAATAATGTCATATTTTAATTCCACAGCAGAGAAAGCGATGTAGTCTCTGTAAGTAGGTCTAGGGAAAAATATTGGTATCAGTTATCGGCCAAATAAGTTTTAACATATCGACATATCGAATATCGGCCAAAAATCCAATATCGTGCATCCCTAATAAATCTTTACCTAAATTCCCGACAAAAAAACACTAACTTGATTGGTATTATGTTTTATTTTCTTCCCAGATGATTTCAAAGCTCGGAAACCAGACATTAAAGTGTCATTTAAGCCGAAACACTCATTGAACGTACATCAGGGATTAGGTAGCACAGATGGACATAAAAACTTGGCTGTCATTGAAGCCAAATCTATCAAACACAAAGAAGACAAAAAGCCTTTTGAAGGTGTCACTACTACCTACAGAGCCGATTATATCCGTCAACCAGTGCAGCCGAGACCGACCAAGGTCAGGAATGCTCACCCGACCAGCAAAGATCTACTGAAGATGCCCGTCATGCCGAATGGGACTTCCGTCACAAAACAAGAACATCTCAATGGGCCCAATGAATTAATTCGGCAATTCCAAATGTGGTCGCTTGAAACCAAGCTCCACGGAGACCCCAAAGACTTCAAGTTCCAGTCTACATCACATGAAAGTCACGTAGAACCCAAGGACCAGCGCGCATCAGTCGTATCTAAGGAGTCCTACAAGTCTTGGAACAGATCACAGTTCTTCACATCAACTCATGAAACATCAGATCGGCCCATAAAGACAAGGCACGATCCTAAGCCTGTTGAGACAAGGCAGATGTTTTCAAGACAACATCCTAAAGTGAGTGACTCTGCACCCTCGAAGTCCACCTCACAGAGACACCAGTATCCTGCAGAGAGTGGAGGATTACCTGCTTTCGATTGCTCAGCCGGTATGTTCTGGTCCAGCCCTCTAAACCAAGGGATGAGTTGGTTTATAGAGAAGGTCAAGGCTGCCTAAAATGTAATAAATGCTTAAAAAGGCAATGAGATCATGAAGTTATCCCCAATTTTTAAACGCATTACCTCACTGGCACGCACCACAATAATAAAAACTAAGGCGTGGTATTTCTTGAAAGAATGGCCTTTGATGATGGAGTGTCAACTTGATATATTGAAAAATGACTACGGCAATAGCGGTTTTCCAAAACCTTAAAAAAGTCAAACGTAGCATGCGAGCACTCTGAATGCATTGGGAACAACACTCAGCTGCTTGCGCATCCAATTTTAGCTCAATATTAGCTAAACTGGCTGCGATTTAGCGGTTTCTTTTATTTTCTACAGACAAGAAACTGCGGGGGCCATTTTGAAACAAGTTCACCCCAAAAGTTTAGACGATTCGAAACATTCAAAGATTACTTTCTGGGTTTCCAAAAATCCATTCACTGGTTTATGGGAGATTTTGACAAGCAAACACAGGTAATTACATAATCACCCGCCTTTCATTAGGAGCAGGCGATAATCACAGTAGAAAACTATTTTAGACAGCAAAATATGATCCTTTTTAAATTCATGAAACTTGTTTTACTTATTTAAAGGAGCAATCCCCGTCTGCTGGATCAACTGTAAAATATAGAGAAACCGTTCCAAGTTTAAATTTTTACCATTATCCTACGGTATGTCGTAAATGTAAAACAACAAACAATGTAATCATAAAATGACATTTTATTTAAAAAAAAATATAAACCAGAACAAAACAAAAGAGATCAGGTGTTGGTTTAGTTATTTCTTGACTGGAATAAATTTCATAATATTTACACCTATACAGGACTTCAGTTTAAAAGCGTTTTGAGTTAAACAATGTTCCAAAAACATCCATGTGTGCAGCGTCCCACCTTTATCTTAGGGATGGGGCTCCAGTGCTAACAGAAAATTTTAAACAAATATAAAAGACACAAAGGCACAACTGGGACTATTTTGTTTCACTTAGTTCCAGCCAAGTTCTCATCAACACCAATTGTCCTGGTCAGTTCCTGCCAGTGATGGTCTGAGGGGTTAAAACGGTAGACGTCAGTCCTCGTTGAAGCGGATGTGCTTGTTAGCCTCCTTGGCTCGGGTCATGATGATTTTTTCGGCTTTGGCTATGAGCTGAAGAGAGACAAAAGATCAATTCAATCCAGTTTATTTATATAGCGCCAAGTCACAACAGAAGTCATCTCAGGGCACTGAACAGAAACATTCATATCTATAAAAAGTAAGTTAACATTATTTATCTGAGGAGCAGACTGATTTGAGTCTAACTTAATTGCAGACTGAGTAAGCATGAAGGCAACAGTGGAAAGGAAAAAATCTCTCATGAGGAAGAAACCTCCAGCAGAACCAGGCTCAGGACAAGCGGCCATCTGCTTCGACCGGCTGGTTGTCTGAGTTTAAAAGCAGAAAATTTAGGGTCATCCAGGTTTTAACGCCTTTAAGACATTGTAGTCTAAGTGGCTGATTGGATTCATTGGGTTTCATGGACAAATATAACTGTGCATCATCATCATCATAACAATGAAAATTTATCCCATGCTGTTTAATAACATTACCTAATAGAAGCATTTATAAAAGTAAAGAGTATTGGTCCAAACAGTGAACCCTGAGGAACACCATGACTAACTTTGGTATACGAAGAAGACAAGTTATGATGGAACTACAAAAGGTACCGACTAGACAAAAAGTATTTATCCAAGTGCAAAACTAGAGAGTACGAAGGATCACGTGTGTATAATATTACTCATTTTATTTGTAATGTTTGTTAAATACAGTCATGCCAACACACTTGAACAAATTTACCAGAAAGTGTTGTTTACATGCACAGAATGGTGGAAACGTCATGTATTCAGCAACTGTTCAAGCTGGTGACCAAAAAGGAGCACTTTGTAGTCTGAACAGTAGCAGATCAAACACTGAGAAACTACTGTTTAAAATAGAATTAAGATTTTAAATGCAAAAACACAAAAACAGAGTATATGCCTTGAAAGGCTCTTTCACAAAACACCACAGTCGGGACTTAGATGCTTTCTGGCCGCCTTGGTGCGATTTCTGAATAGACTGAAGCAGTGAGCAGGGGGTCAAAGCCAACCCACCCCTGAGGCACCTTTGTGTCACAAAGCGAGGTAGTAACAGAGGCAAAACTATTGTCATATTAAAAAGGTATGCCGGTGTGTTGCTATATGTGCTCCATCACATCAGGGATTAAGTTATGTTTGGTCAAACTAAACTGAGCACTTTTTCAGATTTCTGTCCTTTTTAAGTTTCACTCTGATACCCAGATCATCCTGATGTCATGGACGATTCCAGAGGTATGGCTTGATTTGTCTTACTTGGCCGGGTAACCCCTGGAAAATCGGTCAGAATTATATTTTTAGCATACTGCAAGGAAAATTTCATGATGTCGTTCGAAAGAGGAAACCTCAAACCATGATTGGATAATGGGATTTCCCAGCTGGTACTGAAAATAGCTTTGGTAATGTGCAGGGAAATTACTGAAAATGTAGCGTTTTCGGCGCTGCTCAGAAAAGTGCTTCAAAGCCTTTAGGATTATATTTTAGACATTTCATTCCAGGAATCCATAGACAGGTATTTACAAAATACAATTATTGGAAAATTTTCAACCAATATAATATGGCTGTATCTCAACAAACCACCATGCCACTTAATCGTTGGTTCGAAGAGACAGGTCAGATCTGGTCTGTGTGGCCAGCCGGTCGCGGACTCGAACAACAACACACACATTTACTATCGAGGGAAGATCAACGATGACACGTGGAAACTTCGTCTTTAGTTTAAAAATAATAGTCGACCACAAAGAGAATCGGTAAACTGGGTTAACACGCGATTTTAAAATGACATGCTGTCACGTGTTTAATGCGTCGCACTCCACGTCAACCCTGCTGAGTTTTGCTCCGCCCCTCTTGTCGTTGCACGGCGTTTCCTTCCTTCCTGAAAGCTCACGTCTGCGCGGACGTTGCCAACTTCATTTGTGATTTATGAACGTCCAGATGCAGTATAAATACGGACTGGTCTGTGCGGCCATTTTTGTAGAACTATTTAACAAAAGAGGTTAAAAATAGACGTTCGAATCATTTCAGAAAGAAACTTAAGGCCTAGCATTCTTTGAGGGAAACGCATATCACCTACAACCCTCTAAATAAATCTCAAAGATCTTGCGAGATATATCAGTGTAGCTTATTTTCTTCTGACATGTAGACATAAATTTAAAGTGAAATTGGTATTTAAACTTGTCAGAAAAAACAAATGAGTCAAGCTGAAGAAATTCATGGAATTTCTGCCACAAATTATTAAAATATACATTTAAGTTAATATTTATAATCAGCTAGTCCAACTAGTTTGGTTTGCAGGGTTAAAATACTGCAGTTGTTTGTAGCTTCTATACTTGTGTAAAAAAAATAAATAAATAAAACGTTGGTAGCCTGATACAATTTTACATTTTGTCTGATTTTTACATAACCTATAAGTTCTTAACTGGAATTTATTTGCACAAACACTTTATCTTGAGCACCTTTTTTTTTTTTTTTTTTAAGGTATTAAGCGAACAGAGAGAAAAGGGACCGGTCACATGTCACCAGTTCATAAAGCTTAAAAAGACCAATATATACTTTTTAATATGAATAAATACATTTTTGAGTATTTACAATAAAAACAAAAAATACACAACTAATGTTTTAGTTTTGATAGACCTAAAAAGGAAACGAATTCACAAAATTCATTCTTAATATGCTGCTCTCCAGTGAAACGTTTAAATCCATTCTAATTTCATCTCACCTTCTCTGTGCCCCGCTTCTTCTCTCTGGGACGGTTCAGCTTGACCTGCCGGTCCACTAAGATCTTCTGCCAGTACCGCTGCTCGTGGTCACCTTAAACACAAAATAACCTCCACGTAAAGTTCGTCCAGAGGAATCTAGGAAATCGAGATCAAATCCCAAATGCTTGAGGATATAAAGTCCGGACCTGTCAGAACCTCCAGTTTCCAGCTGTGCTCCTTCTGCAGCTCTTCTTTAACGTCGCTGACGGCTTTAGCTTCCTGCGGGGTGTGAAAACGGATGTGACCCTCCACGTCTCCCTCCAAAATGTCGATGTAAGCAACTGGAGAGACTTTGGACAAAGCGCCCTACAAATATAGAAGGAAAACGAAGGCACCAGAACATTTTATGATCCATCTTAAAGATGTATTCTTCTCAAATAGAAAAAAAAACGACTTTATGACTGAAACTAGGACTAATGAGCGCTCGTTTCGTACTTTGATGATCTTCCTGGCTGGTAACGGTTTGTCGTCAGTGATCTTCATGATGACACCGCTAACAAACTGAGGGCCCTGGTTGGTTTCTTGTTCATCTTTACGTTTCATCTCTTTCTCATCTTTACTTTTCATCTCCACTAGAGAAAAAAACACACACACACAAATAAACAGATTTTATTTCAACACAGCTTCAGTAGTTATGAACACTTAGTATCTTACCTGTTGCAGATATTTCTTTGAACGTCCTCCGTTTGGAGAAACGTAGGGCATTTACCTCTAACTGGATTGACAAGCTAACGGCTAGTCAAAGCAAGCTAAGACCAAAGTGGATTACAGTCATTGTAATGTTGATCTTTTTTTTTAATTTCCCCATTTTACAAAATCTAGAAATAATATATTAATATACGTTTATTTTGTTATTTTGTTCATGCTGGACTAAACATTTCAGCACAACAAACTGCTTTAAAGAAGAGAAATCAGTTATAATGAGTGATAAGCTCAGCTGCCGCTTTCTGATTTACGTCAGTTGAAAACTTAAAAAAAAAAAATTTAAAAAGGGCTTCAGGTACATAGACATGCGCTGCTACTAATTCCATCAGCCGGGGACATTATTTATTTATATCCAATTCCATCGATCGAATGGATCAACACAGAGGGGGGTGCACGTCTTTAGGAAAGAAAGCTGAGACCCCCCTTTGAAGTTTCCACTTTATAATCCTTTCAAAATAAAACTACAGTGGTGTGATGAGTCAGCTAGCTGTAGCTCCTCTAACAAGTATATCCTAATATTCTAGCGTAAAAGCTGACATTTGCAGGAGGCCGAAAGATTTTTTTGAAACTCAAGTTGTTTTAAGATGACGGCAATCAACTTTGGTCTTCATCCAACCTGGACTAGCCATTTGTTCATCTATCGGCAGAATTAAAATTAAATTCTCTAAACTGAGAACAACAGGTAAAATGTACACAGGAAGGTACCAGGAGCTTAAACCTGGTGAAAATTTGTAACGATAGTATAGTAATCCCTCGCTACTTCGTGATTCGATTTTCGCGGACTCGCTCTTTCGCGATTTTTCAAAGTAAGATTGGACCTGACACAATTGGCTGTTTGATGGATGAGCCGCACGAGCGGCATGGATTTATTTAAAATAAATTATTTTAAATTATTTAGCACCTGCTGCACCTGTGTGCAACCCACGGGTGCAGGGAGAAGCTCCCCATGATCTCCGCTCTCTGCCAGCGATTGATCTAAAGTGGGCGTGGCCGAGAGCAGCAGGTGGCAGAGAGTGGAGATCATGACGTGTGTAATATATTATATATAATAAAATAAACCACTACTACTTGTACTACTAATCCTACTTGGCGGTTTTTCACTTATCGTGGGGGGACTGGGAACGGTACCCCCGCGATAAACGAGGGACTACTGTACAATTAAAGAATAAGTATATTTATTGTTGTTGTTTTTTTTAAGAACAATGAATCAAAATATTTCAGAAAAGAACCTAAAGTTTGTTTTGGTAGATTGCTTTCCATTATATCACCACCTCTGCTCTTTTTAAAGTCTTAATTGTTTTGTTTTTAACATCACTGAGACAAAACTTCGTCATTAATGTTTTATAGATAAAATCATCTCTGGGACGAATACAAACGTCGTGTTTTCTGTATTTTCTGTATTTTCTGGTGAGCCTTTGACCCCGTCTGGACAACCAGAAGATCAGACTTCCCGAGCAGCTGCGGGTCAAATCACCGTTTCCATCCGGAGCCTCGCTCTCCTCCTTGCGACAGATCTTGTTGATGCACTTCTTCAGCGACGCCATGCTGCTCTTCTGCAGGATTAGGTACTCCTCCTTCAGCTGAAGCCACTCTTTCCTTCACGTGGACAAAAAGAGAAGGAACAGAGAGGGGAGACAAGTTTATTTTAGTGGTTTCATAATTAATCTGCGTTTAAAAAAAGAAAAAAGAGAAGGGATCCTACTTTGATAGGACACGGAGTGGGATGACTTCCTCCCCGATCTTTAGTTTCTCTTTATGTTTCTTTTTTCTCTTCCTCTTCGCCTTCACAGTCGAGTCATCCTCGTTTTCTTTCTCAACGGTGTCACTTTTAGTGGGCGAGCCTGTGTGTG